GTAAAGTGGGTCGGAGTAGCCGGCGTCGATCGACAAGTCACGTGGCCCGAACTTTTAGGGGTCGCCCTGGTGGATTCACAATAATTTTAACTGACGCGCGTTGCTTAGCCTTACCCTTGTGCCTCTTGTTAATTGCGCTTGATATTTTCTTGCCATAATTATCGTGTGTTTAAAATTCATTTAAAAATTAATCTGCGCGCCCGCATACTTTCAAAATAATCTATTTGCGCAAAATTTTCTCGATATGCGCATGATATAATAATATCAATGCCTCACATTATTGAATTTAAGATTAAAGTATGAATTTTTGTCAATTTTAAACGCTGGTTTCAATTCAAGTCATTATTGTATATTTTTTTGATTGAAATACTAACATTTGGTAAAAATATTGATATTTTTTTTAGAAAAATCAAATACTGTGATATTAACAAAATGAACGACATGTGGAACAATATATATCCAGCTTTAGGTGACGTGACAAACCAACCGGCAGGCAAGAAACGAAGCACCACAGACATCACAAACACCACATCAAAAAAGAGAAAATCCGTAATTCCAAGTGTGAATCAATTTTATCTTGCATAGATGTTCTCTTACAGAAAGGGCTATCTATATAAACGATTGCATTAGGATGCAGAGTTGTATCGAATTCTGCTATAATTTTGAAATTATAGGACCAAAAATACCAGTTGGAATCGTGACAATTATAGGTAATTTAAAATTGTATTGTAAAACACAATGAACAACATCTAGTGAAAGTGTTAATTCAATACAATAGCATTTGGACCAATTTTGAGCAAATGGGAGTTATTTACTTCTATAGCAATCTAACTATTAAAAAGCATGATTCTTATAATTATGTGTTTATTCTTGAACTTCTACTCACAGCAACATTAGCTAAGCTTAAAAGTAAGATGTTTTTGTAAAAAAAGAATTTGTATAAGATTAAAAGGGTTAAAATTATATTTTTTTTTATTTTTTCAGAATTTTTAATCATTAAATTATAAACAAATTTTTGGCTCACTGAGCATTTTTTTTAAAATATTTCAAGAGAACAACTTATTTTTTATTCAGATACTTTTTTGATATTTTGCATATTTTTGATTTTGTATTTATTGTTTAAAATTAAAATATTCTGAAAATATTATTTATTTTGTTTATTATATTATTAATTTTTTGCAACTTTTTATATTATAATTCATCTTATTTTTGATTATCTTCATTATGTATAAAATTATTATATTATCTTTTTAATTTTAATTTTATATTTTATTTCATAAATAATTTATATTTTTATTTAATTATTTTATATTATTATTGTATTATTTTAGTTAAAATTTTAATTTATCAATTAATTTATAATAAAATAACAATATTTTATATTTTAAATTTTATTAATATTTTCTTTTTATTTATTATTATTTTAATTAAATTAGTAATATATAATATTATACAAATTTTTTTATTATTATATTTTTAACAAGTAAAAATATTAACAATACAAATATAACAAAAATATCAAATAATTAATTAATAATAATATATTTATTTTAATTAAATTTTCAAACTAACAATATTTTAATAAATTTAATATAATTTAAAATTACTTGTTTACAAGCTTTGAAATATATAATTAAAAGTAAAAGATAATATTTTTATAAAGTATTAATTAAAGTTTAAGATTTTTATTATATTATTATTTTCAAGATTTAATATATTTTTCAAGTTTTAAATACTATTTTATTCATATATTTTTGAGTTAATATAATTTTAATAATAAAATAATAAAAAATACAAACAAAATTATAAAAAATATAAATAAAATTATAAAAAATATTAGAAAATATAAATAAAAGTTATAAAAAGTATAAAAAATATTATAAAAAATATTAAAAAATATAAATAAAAGTTATAAAAAATATAAAAAATATAAAAAAATATGATAAAAATTGTAAATAATTTTTGTTAATTTCATATTTTGAATTATTTTATATTTTTATAATATTATAATAAAACTTTTTTATAAATATATTTATTTATAATTACATTTTCTTATAATTATTTAATTTGATCTTTTCAAATTTTTAATTAATAAAAAAACTTTTATATAATTATTTACTCTTTATAATTACTATTATTAAATAATTTTTATAATATATAATAACTAATAGAATTATAAAATTACATGTATAATTTTATTAATCAAATATAATAAAAATTAAATTTTTGTTTTATATAAAAGTTTTTAATTTTATTAATAAAAGTTTTTTAATTTTAGATTAAAACAGAGATTATAAATTATAGTTTAATATATATATATTTTGGATTTTTTCTACAAAGTTATTCTAATTGCAAAGTTATTACAAAAATTTTTTATAATTAATTTTACATTTTAATTATAAAAATTTTTGCAATAATTTTGCAATTAGAATAACTTTGTCAGAAAAAAATCCAGAAAAATATATATTAAACTATAATTTATAATTTTTGTTTTAATAAAAATAAAAAATATTTATTAATAAAATTGAAAACTTTTATATAAAACAAAAATTTTAATTTTTATTATATTTGATTAATAAAATTAAATATACAGTGATCGTTATAAATATCTAGAATTTAGTTTTTTTTAGGTACAACTTCACAAAAATTCATTTAAAATATATGAAATTCCATATATTACATATATATGGAATCATATATTTTAAATGAATTTTTGTGAAGTTGTACCTAAAAAAACTAAATTCTGAATACTTATAATAATCACTGTATAATTCCATAATTCTGTTAGTTATTATATATAATAATTAACAAAATTATAGAATTATATTTATAAATTGAAAAAATCCAATATTAATATTTTTGTATTTGAATAATTATATTAAAAACTGTTACATGTCATCTTTTGTAATTTGATTATATAACTAAGCCGATTTTATATTATTTTGACATTATTTCAGGTTCAAATAAAGATCTTTCGTGAAATCTTTTTAAATGCTGTAAAACTTCTTTTTCAATACTTAACCACGTTGATTTTGTTCTATTTGTAATTTTTACAAGATGAATTTTTTACTTAAAATCTTAATAAGCAAAATGTCAACAACTTTCAGCCTATTAAAGGAAGATAGCTGGAACATTTTGACTAACAAAAATAAAAAACAAAGTGCAATCAATAGATTCAAAAACCAATCTGTTAGATTCTTTAAAACATTCAATAAATCAATAACTATTACATTTATTTTAATAGAAAATTTGTGTAAATTGTGCTAATAACTAAATGAGAATTACTAATTTATCTATTTACCTATTTGTATAGACTCAACTTTTCTTTCGATTCTTAACAAACTCTTCGATTTTTACGCGTAATTCAGGACTAATATTATCATACTTGGGCGGTAAAGCAGGCCATTCTTTGGCAACACGTTTCCGTACAGTGTCAAAGTCATCCCAGTCACCTACTTTTCCGTGGTCATACACAACACGGAGTAAATTCTCGGTATTGGGATCTGCTGATTCTTTAGGACGAACAATTGGAACCTATTATATCAAAGAATATTAACATAGAATCGAATAGGAAATATATTGTCAAAGAGTGATTGCAATAAATCACCGTATCAAGAGAATGGCTCTCGAATAAGGTTTTGATGTATTTCCAATCTCTGACATGTACTATGTTCTTACCCCTTCAGCATTACGTTGCACCACGAATTCACCAGGTAAACTTATTTTGCCACCATCAGATTTTGGTGTTTTCATTACATCTCTGTACGAAAAATAACAATTCGAATAAAGAAGTCATCAATAGAATATTTTTTTAAAAAAAGCATTTTTTCTAACCGTTTAGTGCCATCCGAATATGTAATATGCGATAGTTTGCATGCAAAACTCATAGTATCCCTATTAACTTTCTACAAATGTAATTTCATTTTAATCCAAATAAATTGATAAACATTCGAATCTATACGCAAATTGACTGAAAATCAAGTAACCTGCAAAAGTGCACCACCCATTCCAAAAGCAATATTTTGTGCCGAATATCCTGCCTTCTTAGCCCCATCCAAGATAGCAGCCAGAGTTATCGGAGTGACACTATCACCTTGAATAACACCACACGCACGTAACAATTTGTATCCTTTTTTATTCGTATCACATCCAAAAACTTTCTCTCCTGCCCTAATATCAAAAAATCAAATTTAACCAATTTTAACCAATACGATAAAAAGAATGCTCATATTTTCTAACAATTAAAAAAAAGCACAAAGACCTCAAAGCCATTAAAATAGCTTCAACTTGGTCACCACTGTCCGGTCGTAATACCATAAAACCACCTTTTCCGACTTTTTGCGATGCAACTGAAGGTAATATTTTTTCTAATGCATTTACGTAGTCATATGAATCCATTACACATGCAAACACTCCCATCCCAAATAAATCGATCATTTTCAATATAGCTTCCTTTAAGTGAAAAATAAGTAGAAAATTAAACCGATAAAATCAATAATAATAAGAGAAAATACACAGCATTAATTACCCGTTCCGTTCTATATGACATCATAATGGAATGTTCAGTGGCAGGAATAGAAGTTGCAACAGGCTTTCCGTTATTTAAATTAAATTGAGCATAATAAGCTGCGCTCATTGTATCAGTTCCTATAAAGTTTAGCTTTGAGTATGATTTGAATAAGTAGCATGAAATCAATAATTATATTTTGCAAATATTCTGCTAAAATAAATATTTAAAAAATGTCAATTTACAAGATGTGCTGCTCCTCCAATAATTGATTGCTCGACGCAAGTACATCCACGAAATCCGAAATCATGAAGACGACTTATAATAAAGATAGTTATATAATAGGTGAAATAAAATGTACACATCATTGAAACAGACACGCTTACCCTTCCAAACTCCAATAACCATCGTCATCCACTGTGTCTTGATATGCTTTTTCAATTATATCACGTGCACGTCGTGAAAAGGTCGCTACGGTGGACGGATACTGAAATAAATGCCAAACATATATAATAACCGTAATAAAGAATTCAACCAATAATCAGTATTGACTTACCCAAACCAATAATAGTAAAGTTTCAAGATAAGTAAGTAATGGCGAATATTCTCCTTCGGCTGTGATCTGAAATACTGGAGTATGCGCATGTACTACAGTTCCTTCAAGCAGTGCTTCAATCTTGACCGGAAAATATCCGTCATTTTCTTTAATAAACTATTTACAATAGAAATAGATGTGAATCTAAGTACTGCAAGAATAGAAACTTTAGAGCGATAATACATGTCAATCACCTTTAGCATCAAATCCTTTGGGAATGGAAAATTAGTATACCCGGCATTATGCGTCGCAAAGAATTTTTCAGCAAGTTCAACGTCTTTGTGCGTCCATTTCAATGCGATATAATTTTCAATTCTGCCATTTTAGCAATAAAAAGAGTCAATGTATTCATTTAATCAAAAGATATATATTTTTTTAAAATTCAAGTAAGTTTCCACGTTCCGATCCATTATACACAAAATATGAAGAATTCGTTAATGAATTTCATCGTTGCCATTCATAAGATATAAATTAAAAAAATTGGATGTAAACAAATATAAAAACAAAATTTTTACTGATACAAACATGTAACGAATACCATAAAAGACGATACGCGTATCTTCTTTATCACCATTAAAGCCGCTGCGAAATTCTGCGTAAGCAACAGCCTAAAAGGCGAAATTGAAGAAATATACAGGTCAATAATAATAAAGCAACGTACAGTTTTAAATTTATTACATATATTCTTCTCATAAAGTGGATAGTTTAAGAGTTTTACTTTTTCATTTAAAATTTATATGAATGAATTGAATTGACTAGAACAAAATATCATTATCAATCTCAAGATTTTATTTAAAGAAAAAACCTTTTTTGCTTCAGGAAACAGAAAAGAATGCGATGGTTTGTAGGAATCTGCTAGGAGGAAAAGCGGGATTCCGTGAATGCCAGACATTCTCAAAGTGGGAGAATTCAAAACCTCTATCGCTGTAGGCTTAACTTATAACAATCACACGATTTGTCATGCAAATCAGGAGGATAAAAATCGAACATATAATGTCGATCAATTAAAAAATCAATATGATCACATTTTTGAATTTTT